GGTCCAAAGAAATGAGCGAGTCACATCCAATACGTGCGGATACCATGTCTGAAAAGACCAACAGCAGACATGGAAGTCGTTTTCGTCTCAGTTCCAGGGTCTCGTGGTATACTCTGCTGTCTGATCGAGTCTGCGTCTGGATTGGCGCCAGTGTAGCTTCATCTCTGAATACCCCCAACTCATGGGCAAGGGCGACGGCTGCACTAAGGATCATCCAGGACATACGCTCGAGACGCTTGGTCGGCTCAATGACTTCTTGTTGCCACTGAAGCGAGACAGAAGGCTCATGCTCGCTCTCCAGCTGTGGGTCGCGCACGTCCGGGTCTGTCATGATCAAATCCGAGTCCCAACCATCGCTCTCTGGGGGAAAGTGTAACGACTTGGGGTACCATTCACAGAGCAGCAGCAATGCCTCTATCGTACCTAGGGTTCTTGTCTTGGCCTTTGAGAATTTTTCCTGCCCAAGCATGACTCGGAGCAAGAGGTGTTGGCAGTGTTGACTGAGACGGTGATGGATAAACGAGGATCGTACTCGCCCAGCGCGACCGGGAAGGATGTAATAACGGGAGGAGAGAAGGAGGATGGTGCAGCAAAGGAAGGGTTCTTGTGTAACAAGCCAGAAATGATTCGCGGGAGTGGCATAGAAATCGGTCAGGATTGGCGAAAGCGGGCTGAGGTGAGTGAAAAACCTGCGGTTTGTAAGAATACAGAAGCTTGTTGAGAGCGCGACATAGTTACCATTCTATAAGTAAAATGGCCTCTTGGGCTGTAAACCACCCCATCCGAACAAAACGGCAAGCATTCCACACACGATGAGCGTCCTTATAAATATACTCCTCATTGCTGTCACTGTGAAGCTTTGACGACTGGGGTGTGGCGACTTTGGTGGGACGTTTTGACGGGGCCGCTGCTTTGAATAGCAATCTCATGGCATCCTGTTCGTTGGAAACCACTGTTTCCATCATTGACTGAGAGAATTCCTTTTCACCAGTCAACCGCCGTTGCTCGGGGTCGATGTCTCGCTCTAAGCTGTCTTCCCTCCGGGCCTCATTTACACTATTCAGATTAGTGACTGCTAACAGAGGATATCTTTGAAGATGGGACCCACGATGGACTACGTGAACCGCCGATATTATGGATCTCTCTCATTCTTAGTGCTGGATCAGGTTCAGCATCCGAGGTGACTGGCGGTGAATATGTATCCAGATTATTCCCTTTAGGAGTGCTTCGCGACCATGGTCGCTTGCTACTAGACATGCACCGGATACCTTTCTTTTCGCACCTCTCGCAGGCGATTGCATTGTCACTGCGCTTGCATTTAGTTTTGCGTCTTGCACAGGGTATGCAGGCCTGATATGCTCTCTGATACTGGTACCGGCTTACTGCTCGACTGCGGGATGGCCTGGAGGGGTTGCGTTCCATGATGCCAGGGTAAGAGAGGATGTTGAAGATGAGAAGGGAAGCTGCAGTTCGGCAATTGCCAAATACCCGACACTTTCATATTACACTAAACCTAATTTCGGGTGTACTTGCCCCACGCCACTCAAAATCATTAATGCATACTAGTTACAGCATCTGCGGTTAACTAAGTGATGTAGCGAAAATTAGGATCATCATCTCCAGCTTCCGTCACATCAATAGCATGTTCCTCACTGACGCGACCATGTACCCGGTCCCGTCGAGCATTTTCGAGCCTGAGTTTGCAGTGTAGCACGGCGCCAAGAATCACCACTAAGCCCGTCAAGCCTGCGCCCGCAGCACACCCACGCGTATAGTTGGGTGCATCAGTGGCCGGAAATAAAGAGCTGCTGACGAAGCTGGAGCACTGCCCAAATATCGCTAACACTGCCATCCCGGCTCCTCGTTTACTGTCGCCACCCTGGTTATTCAATAACCAGGTAATGTTGATCGCGAGAGACGGGAACACTCCACATGTTGCTAACCAGATACCTGCATACCGTACCCCATCTGCGCTAGCATCGTGTACACAGGCCAGCATCAAGTAGCCAACCAAGCCTATTGCCGAGAATCCTATCACTACTAAGCCTCGGTTACCCAACCGGTCCGATAGGAAGGCGGCTGCCAGGCAGCAGACGAAAGATCCCAGATAGGGAGGGGCTGTGAGGCCCTGAGCGTGGACGGAGACGTAGCCCATATCCTCAATGAGAGTGGGCAGGAAGTTGGACAGACCCGCGAAGGAATAATTGCAACAGAAATGTATGATCATGTGCACATAGTTCTTATAGTCCAGGAGACCACTCCAGAATTGCTTCCAATGCACGCGGTCTTTTGCCGTGCGGTCTTGCGTTGTCAAGCGCCCAACTGCATCTGCTTGTTGCTGCTCATCCAAAAACCAGGCCGACCCGGGGCTATCCGGGAGGAAGAAAAACACAACGACGGAGATTATGACAGTAGGTGCCCCTTCTGCATTCAAGGGTTATCTTCGGGGATTCCTATGGGCGCTCTAGAGAGACGGACGAGACTCACCAATCAGAAAGAGATACTGCCATGGCTCAAGTCCATTCCGGATTTGAGTAATGCCATATGCCAGTGCAGAGGCAAAGCAGTTCGCGATTGGAGACATTCCTAGAAGTACCGACACGCGGAGCCCCAGCTCATGTCGTTGGTAGAACAGTGAGAGGAAATAAGGTGCCCCAGCGCCGAAGCTGGCTTCAAACACACCCAACAGGCACCGACACACAATAAGCTCACCAAGGTTGTGAACTGCTCCGCTACACATGGCAGCAGCACCCCAGCTGTATTCAGACAGTGCTTTAATTTATATTGTATGACCATGATACGATTACAGGGACTGCTCACCAAATGCACAGAACTGCCACATAATAATGCGCAGGAAATAGTCTCCACAGAAGATTTGTCCACTCAAAGACAGTATAGCACAAATAGAAGCTGTTCAGAACCCAGGACCAGTCCGAGTCATCGAGGTGTAAACTCTCTTGAAGTCCAGCAATTTTTGCGTTGCCGATGTTGCCTTCAAAAAGGAATTAGCCATGTTAAGACAGTTCATCGAGACATGGTACACTCACCGCGGTCCAAGTATGACAAAATATACAAGACGCAAAGGAGTGGCAATAGATGTCGGTCAAACTTTTTGGGACTGAGCTTCACTCAACTTATAGCATACAAAAGGAATATCTTACCTTCCGAACGATTGACTTCTGTCGTTCTGGACTGACTTGAACCCGTTGAAGCGAATTGTCTATGCAATCTGGATCCACCCCCTCAATGTGCTGACTATCTGGATCATCGATATGTTTTGAAACTTGACTCATACTGTGTGAAGTTATACCTTAGAGATAGGGGTGGTTGTACTTCCCAAACTGCAAAGTCCATGTTGCGCTCAATGGCCCTTTTTATAGGCCCACAGTGCTATACTCCCGTGCAAAAAAAGAGAGCATGCATGGCCTTCCCCGCAATTTGGGGCCTACCAGGTCAGTAGATCGCATTTCCCCACGGGGTTCATGCACCAAAACATGAAAATGATACCCTTATTCTCTACTGCCGACAGAGCGGAGCGGGGTCGCGGATATTGCCAAATACCCGAAACTCGAAATATCCGCGGAGAATTGAGGGCTTCATAAAACGTCAAGTGAGCGCCCACGTTTGTCTCAAGCCCAACTCTCTTGCAACTGAACCATTTTGACCTACTATATAAACGCCAAACACAATTCTGACCATGTCTACTAGCGAAGTGCCTTACCCTTTTCAGTTCGACTCCCTGAGGACCCACGAACCAGGTGTTGGAACCCAGGATGGCACCACGCAGGATGTGACCGTCAAACTCCCAAATGTGCGCGGCAAAATCCCATCACTTCAGGCATCCCGTCTCCGTACAATGATGCTCGAGGCACATGGAGACCCAAAAAAGATCCTTGCACACGCATGCTCCTACGATGGTCTTTCCTCCCACCAGGTTGAGGAGGCCGGGTTTCCCATGGTCTTCCTTGCTGGATACGCGGTTGCCAGCTCCTACGGCCTCCCAGATACGGGGTACATTGCTATGGCTGAAATGTGCGACAAGATTCGCGATGCCGTCCGGCAGGTATCAGTTCCGGTTATGGCGGATGGTGACACGGGGTATGGCAGTCCATTGAATGTCAAGCGGACAGTGGAGAGCTTTGCTGCTGCTGGTGCGGCTGGAGTCATGATTGAGGATCAGCAGTGGCCTAAGAGTATGCCTGATATCCCCTTTTTCTGTTCTGGAGTCTCCTTCACAAATGTATAAAATACTAACCACTTTTAGGATGCGGCCACACGAAAGGCAAAAGCGTAGTGTCGCGCGAGGAAGCCTTCGCTCGGATCAAAGCCGCCTGTGACGCCCGCAATCAAGGCCTCGATATATTTATCCTGGCACGAACTGATGCTCTCATCCACGGGTGGGATGAGGCTATGTCCCGAGCTCACGAGTTTCGCCGTCTCGGCGTCGATGCGGTCTTCGTTGAAGCTTTGCCGGACCGCGAGGCCATGACACGCTGCGTGCAAGAAGTGGGCATTCCAACCTTCGCAAATATTATTGAAGGCGGTAAGACCGAAAACCTATCAGCAAAGGACCTCGCGGAATTGGGGTTCTGCGCTGTGGCGTATCCGTGGACGCTGGTCGCTGCGCATTTGCGGGGACTCCGCGAGGCCCTTGATGGGTTGAAGCGGAGCATGACAAACGGAGCGCCGCCTATGATACTGACATATGACCAAGTTTGTGAAGGTGTTGGGTTTAATAAGTATTGGGTGAGTGCTGTGGTCCATTCTTTTGGCTTCGGATGATTTGTGCTAACTGGTGGGATTCACAGAAGCTGGAGGAGAGGTATAAGTGGGAGTGAGGCTCGCATGCTTTGTTATTCAAAATATATCTAAGACCTACATGTTCATCGTACTGGCCCCCTAGGCGACTGCGGAAGCCTTGCACAATATGTACATGCCAAACTACTTGCGAATTCTACCAATATGTCATCAACCGGACATGAAGCAAAACGTATAAATTCATGACAACCAACAGCTTCAATGGTGAATGCCAATACCCCAGTTTCAAGGACCAATCTTACATGTAGCTAGTGTCATTCGGTTCATTGCCAGTGGCATATAGCCTGCAAATAGACCTACATATTTTGTCAAACAGAGAAATATGATTCCTTGCAGATACCATATGTATATGACGTAAGATAAAGTCAAGTGTAATGAATCAAAGATACAATTCTTTATTAAGAATTCCGAATGAACAGTCCTGGAGATCCTCCTAGGTGGGCCCCTCTACCGCGGCGGCACCCAAACCACCATGGGCCCTCCCGGGAGGATCTCCAGGGCGGCGCTGAAGGAGGCGGTTCCTGTGCGGGCCCACACCGAGGGCTACGCCGCCATCACCGACTCACCTGCCTCGCTCTTCGCCCCGGAATTGATCGGGCTCTACCCAGAGGCCAAGGTCATTATGACCGTGCGCGAGAGAGACGCATGGGTTAAGAGCATGGCCCAGATCAGCTCGTTGGTCACAATGTGGTTTTTGAGGGGGGTGTTATTGCCGTTGCCCAGTATATATCTTACTTTAATACAACCACACGCAACACTGCTATAAATTGGAAAATTTTCTCTGACATGAGATACTTCGATATAAATTAATGCGCCACTTTGTCACATACATCGAACTCCTCCAAGCACAGTGGGACGCGCGTTACAATGGCTCTCGAGATAATATTTGGATTTATGATCGCCATATTGAGTTGTTGAACGAGGTTGTCCCCGCTGACCGTCTGGTTTTCTTTAATGTCAAGAAAGGCTGGGAGCACCTTTGTCGCGCGCTGGGGAAGGAAGTTCCTAAGGATATCCCGTTTCCGAGGGTTAATGACTCCAAAGCTATAAATCGGGTGGCTGAGTACATGTTAAGCGTGGGTTGAGGCGCTGGGCTGTGGCTTTTGCTGTTGTGGGCGTTCTTGGGGGGTGGTGGGTTCTGGGCTGATTACTTGTGGAATTTGTTCTGGGCTATATATACCGTAAATGTAGTAGTATATATCGACTTTGTGAAGTATAATGGCTGGTCTTGTTTTGGATATGGGTGGGGCTATTTTGGGTATTGTAGATATTTGTACAGGCTATGAATCTTGTTTGGCTCTCACGCTCTGGGATCTGAGTATATAACATAAACTTTGATAGAAGCTGTGAACAAGCAGCCTGATCCTCAAACTGGGTTATTAGTACACGATGCAAGGTGGCTAGGATCTAGATATGTTATGATCGAAATGCACTGTCCAATGACATATGCCAGAAATCCCAGTTAACTTTGGCTGTGTGGGTTGAGTCCGGTTGCTATTGTAGCAAGCTATTGCACTCGTATATCTAAACAATTAGGTTCTAGCTATTTATTGTAACAACTGGATACCGCAAATGCCATAACAGCTCACTCTGCGAACATTTGAACATTTAGGTGACTGACAAGCCCCGAATAGCGGCCATCGCTCATAACATTGCTTTCGCAGCCAACGTTAAGATCTTTATGTTTGTTCATATAATGAGATGGTAGTCTCCGGGCCTTTTCTGCGCTTTTATTGATATGTTCTCATCTGTTTCGATCCTCACGCGCAACAATTATATGTATGACGATGCATCCACTCCAGATGAAGAGTTGTATGATGGAATTGGACATTATTTCCTTGTAACTCTAAGGTGATAGACTTATCTCTTTGGGTCTACTCGAAGACGCTTATGATATCGAAGAATGCTCAACAAACGTCCATTCAATCGTAGTAGAGCACAGAGCTAAACATCGAGATATCCAGTCCTACTAAGTGGGGACGGGTCTGGAGGCCCGCAATTTCACTCGTCAGCCGGACCTAGTAATATCCAGGTTCGGAATATGAAGGACATACTTTGGTGGCTGCCCTTACGTTTACTCTTTTAGTACCCAGAAGCAGACTTTAGCCGAAGCTTTCCCAAGATGATGACATCCCAATTTGCAGTTCTCCTATGAAGCGGCATTGCGACAGGGTATATCACTATATAGAATGCCCTAGGTAAACAGTCTGTGGCAAATAGTACTCACGTCCTTGCTGTGTTTGAGGGCTTCATCTCTAGTGCGAAGCGTATAGCGACTCCAATTATCGACGGGTAATTGGTAATAGCCGCGCAAAAGCAGTCACGCGGGTACTCTAAATACCTTTCTGCCAAACGTGCTGCTTCCGGGCCAAAGTGACGCAAGCCGTGGTGCCGATCGATTGATCAACCCCAATGTCTAATATCTTGGCGTCGATTGGGCCAGAGGGACGTTGGGGGGATCGGAATGCGCAGATCCCGATTACTCATCAACCCTTTCTTCTCGGCAGTTTCGAGATACAAATTCCCGCATAGGGCTTGAACCGAGTACTGAGCTCTATGAAATGCCACTGCGCGTAAGAAGTATTTTCAATTGTTCAGCATTGAAAATATGACATTAGTATATCTCATATAAGGTCACTCCTCAGGTGGTATCACTGTTTTCTACATCCAAACTACTATCATCACTTAATTCTCCTTCGCCTGACCGTGGAATCGTCCGTGACTGGAAACTTCGTCACCCCTGCAGATCGGCTCTTTGTATGCCTTGGCATTGACTTGGCATCAAATCGATTTCTACCAGAAATCTTGCCCAGTAGCTGGAATAGCCAACAACAAGAGCTGGAGCTTTATCCACCTCATTATGGCGCAATTCATGGACGCGTGTGCTGCAGTAACAATATACCACAGGAGGGGTTCAATAGGCACCGAGACATAGCAACCAGCCCTGAGCGAGCCCAGCTTTTAGATTGCTCCAGATGAGGATTTGACTGGTGAATGTATTTGAGTCCAAACATTGAAACATGAGTGTGGGACGGGATGACGTTCCCTTTTAGACCTAGATGGTTCCATTGTCGCCGATGTTGGAGTTGAAGTTGGAGTAAAGATGACCTATAAAGACCATGAGCTCCTAGGTAGTATCGAGTCGATCAATTGCAGCTTAGAATTCATTCTTCAATTGCTAGCTTCACTCCTTCCAGACACCTATCAAGATGGTCCATATTTCTTCCCCCTTGATCATCAGCGTCGCCGTGCTGGCGTCTCTGGGACTTGGTCATCCCGGACACGATGTCAAGCACGAAGCTACTGAACGGGCAGCGTTCCTCAAACGTGCACCCGTGCAATCTCGTAGCCTTGCTCAATGTGCATCTAATCTCAAGGCTCGTGGCGTTGAAGCTAGTAATGTCGCTCGGCGTGCGAATGCCCTTCAGCAACTGCGTCGGGAGAGAGGATTGTCCAGTACGTACTGAGCTAGGAGGGAAATATCCGTCCTTCAAATGCTGTCACATTATCCACCCCCAGTACAGTCCCAACTAACAGATTAGGCACTCAATACCTCAAGGCTCGTGATCTGGACTCGGTCCTCGCCACTGATCACCATTCCAACTTGACCGGTGTGAACCCATCAACTGACCCAAGTGTCCTCTTCGCATCCGGCGGCACCTGCATCGTCCAGCCCGAAGTGACTCAGGGTCCTTACTGTATGTCTCTTGCGCCCTTTGTAATACTGAAGCAAGAACTCACAATGTACTCTGCAGACATCGCCGGAGAGCTCATCCGCCGCAACGTGGCCGAGGACCAGGCCGGTGTGCCGTTGTTCATGGATATACAGCTTATCGACACTAATACCTGCGAGCCTTTGCCTAACATCTACACGGACATCTGGCATTGCAACGCAACCGTACGAACCTCCCCAACATCATTGTTAATCTCAGTTTGAGCCGGAGCCTCTAACCTCTACCCCACTTTACGAGAAACAGGGTGTCTACTCCGGTGTAGTCGAGAGCGGTAACGGAAACGCCAATGACCAAGATAACATCAACACGACCTTCCTGCGCGGCGTCCAGCCCAGTGGAGACGACGGAGTCGTACATTTCGAATCGATCTTCCCCGGGCATTATTCTGGCCGAGCGGTCCACATTCACGGTACGTACACCTATACCCCGCCCCCCCAATCGTTATCCTTTCATTTACCTCTTGGCGGTTTTGGAAGGCTTCCAAACTAAATAAACCTTGAATGCATAGTCGTCACCCACCCCGCCAACGAAACAAAACTCCTTCCCAACGGCACCATAGCCGGCATGTACGACAGCCACTCCTCGCATGTGGGCCAGATCTTCTTCGACCAGGACCTAATTACCGAGGTCGAGAAGACGAGTCCCTACTCGACCAATACCCAGAGTCTGACTGAGAACGCCGACGATGACATTCTGCAAACGGAGGCAGACACGACTGACCCGCTCATGGAGTATGTTCTTCTCGGTGACAGTGTCTTGGACGGTGTCTTCGCTTGGATCTCGATCGGAGTGAATGCCAAGCGCGATGACTCGCTGTCTCCTGAGGGGTACTGGACTGAAGATGGAGGTGAGGTCAATGATGATTTTGAGATGAGTATGGCTGGTATGGGAGACATTGCTGCGGCACTTTCGAGAACCAGTGCATCTGCTGCTGCTACGGGTTCTGCTTAGTGTTTAGCGATGGTCGTCTAAAGAATAAAATGGCGGACTTGCTCCTAGCGATTGAGGTTAGCGACGGAGATGTAGGGGGATATCCGCGAATTCTACGTTATGCAGGATAAAGATGTACAATTGATAGCTAGTACGGTACTGTCAAGATATAACGGTATACTTGCACGGTTTCATCAATTTCTGAGGATTAATCACCTAAAATTGGATATTGTTCGATCCTTTCAAGTAAAAACGAAGAGAATCCCTAGATTCTCTGTTACCGAGTTAAGATCAATGAATATCGCCTTAAAGCATCCAAACAGTCTTATATAGAATAACATTTCGTCAGGCTGTGCTCCATACTAGCAGATTATCAAGGAAGGCAGATAAATGGTCACTTTTTCAAACATCACCATATCGAATAACGCCTTTCAGTCAAGTATTCCTGCTAGGAGTACTTCGACGAGAAGACTGGCGAGACCAAGCTTTATCAGGCCAATCACTTTTCCCCAAGTCTCTCGCTGTTGATATCGTCATGGAGTAGTAGCAACCTTCTGCATTCTCATACCTCGCCCAACAACTGTATACAACAGGGCGCGTTGAGCGATTCCTATCCCACCCCATAAACCCCGAGCCACCTTCATGAAAGATTTGCCGAGCAAAATCCATTACGTTTCTGTGTGGGCACATGGTGATAGATCGCAAGCTCTTCAGAGGAAAACCGGCTACTGTGTTGATCTGATAAAAATTGTACAAGCACAGTCTCTGGTGCGTATCATCGTACAAAAGATCAGTCTTGATTTTGACCCTAAACAAAGGGTTTCCGTTGAACACGCAGGAATGCTGGTAATCTTTATGCGGCTTTTGGTTAGGAGGAATGCTATCGGACTTTCCATTGACGACGGGCGTGAACCTGTTTTTCTTTTTGCATAGCTGTATCAAGTGCAGTTTATCAACGAATGTGATTCTCGTACACGGGCAAATGTCAACTTCGCCAGCATATGGCATACAGCGTAAACTGCCTTTAAGAAAGGAACATGCAGAGCAACATTTCGATCCCTTCGTATGCATTTCCTTAAAATTGCGTAGAGACCGCCAGGTAAAAGCTGGGTGGAGGACTTGACAGTCATTGCAGTATCTCCAACGATCGCTCTCGAATCGAAGTAGCAACTGTACTCTGGGTTTTTGTTCGATCTTGGCGAATATATCCTTTCGTTTCTCGACGGGGAGAAGCTGATAAAGCTGGATTTTCTGCTCCTCAAGGTAAGACTTGAGACAACATAGAATATATTTGCAGCTTAGTCCGAAACAGATCTGATCTGGGGCGGAGAGAAATTTGAATATGTTTTCCACCACACTTGGAGGCAGGACACTGAATATGGCTCTCAGCCTGTGTTTCAAATGGAGAGTTGTCAATATAGATTGCATAGTGGGGTTGAAAGGCCTCCTGATTTGAGGTTTGGGGGCCATGTCGATATCTGATAACTTTTCGGACATATTCCTCGGGCAGCTGTTGGGATAGGCGCGATATTTCTTCTTGGGTCTAGCGGTTAGAACGTGGGCGATAGCTGTAAGAGAAGGTGAATGCTAAACTTTCAAAGCAATAAAAGGAGGGGAAGTTATTTTATTTGCAAGTCATCACAAGATACATGGAACGTCTGTCGACATCATGTCGTAGGTGATGAAATAGATGCGCAAGCACCGGATCAGTTTTCCGCCTGTGGACGTCACCTAGCTCTCACTTCCGGGCCGCTGGCTAAGCAAACAAATTTGATCGCCTTCTATTCCGTCAGTCTTGCACAATACTTGGGCCCAGAGATATGAAAGAAAGCAAGCAGACATGATCCGTTCTGTATCTGGAAATGGCCAATATGTGGGCACCCAGCGTCGATTCGGGCAGCGAAAGCTCGAATGTTAAATTCAAATCTAAAGTTTTGGTCCAGTCTTTCATTTCATTTTTTAGCCCATTAATCCTTTTACATTTTCAACCATGTCCAAGAGTGGATTCAGCTAGGCGTACATGGCGGCTTTATGGAACTTCGTCCGGCTAAATCATAATTACTTTATCATAGTAAACTGGGCTGGAATTACATATGTTGCTTACAGGAAGGACTTAGCACATACGACCACAGGGTGTGGAAAATAGGGCTTCCCGTCCGCTCAGCCGTACTCAAGCCACACGCCGGGAGGTTAGTAGTTGGGTGGGTGACCACCAGCGAATCCCTTCTGTTGTATGTTTTTTGTCTCTAGCCAAACAAGTTCTGGTCCAAAAAATACTATTCTTAAAGCCACACTTCTGCTACTTTGCCCTAGTAAATGATCCAAAATGTAGTATGTAACTTCCGGAGGATGTAGCTTTATGAAAGCTTCGTGGAGAAGATTTTGGAAATCCCGAAGGGTGCTTCAACGCACCGAGCGATACCCGTGAGCGCGCTTGATGGCTCGATCAGTGGGGCCGCAGCTCCAGCGGGCCTTGCCGGCTATGCAACTTTCCTGGCGACCCTCGATATCCGGCCCGTTCTGGATCGCATCACGGTTCCTGTTCTCGTGCTGGCTCCTGCCCGCAGCGCCGCGGCTTCCTCCAGAAGTTGGGAGACGAGGGGGGGTGGGGGATGGGAAGAGCGGCAGATAAAGCAAGAAAAACATCTGCTGCTGTGCTAAGTAATCGCAGGGAATTGGGATTTGAAAGGATCATAGTTAGACTGATGGAGAGCGACTCAACAGATCTGCCAGGGCGTGTTTCAGTGCGGAGGCGAGGTTTGTTGTCGAAAAAGGAATTTCTTGTATTCTTCTTATATATATCTCGTGGCTCTCCCCCCACCTGATATAACTGCATTCGTATTGCTCACTTTTACATTACTGATATCTGTGTAGATACAACACATCACCGAAGGTCTTTTACATCGCTCTTTTGAGAGTCATAATATCGGTTGGTATCCATCTGTGTAACTGTGCTATTGGGAGGGAAGATCCGGGCGGTCCTCATGACAAGCATATAAACATGATGTTATCGAGTGCATGAAGAAGAAGACTGGGGACTAGATAGGCCTCTGCTCGGAGATGGCAACGGCCCACTCCGGCAAAGCCTCCTCGTCAAGCATTGAAAATAGCACCATGTCCTGCCCATCCTCGATAAAAGAGGTATCGTGCGCCAGCACAACATGCACCCCTCGATGCGTCTCCAGATATCGCACACGGGCTACAGTGTCCCGTGCCACGTTGAGATCGGTGTGCAAGCAGAAGTGGGTGTCTCCGGGGAGCGGGAAGCGGGCGAAATCTTTGACTCCGTCCAAGAGAGCCCTAAATAGAGTTTCAAACGTAACAGTCAGTGAGCAATGGTTTTTGACTTTTCATCCTTGTACCTTTTACTTTCTCTCTCTGCCACCAGCCCGCGTCTCCCTTGTTAATAGAAGGCAAGAAAAGAGATCATACCGTGAATGACAGCAATCTGATCCCAGCAGGACCCACTCTCCAGACGCCAGCCGGGCGCATGCGCACAGGTTCCCGGGCATATGGCCCGGGGCCTGCATGATCCACAGGCTACCATCGCCTAGAAAGTCCAATGCATGGGGAAATGGTCCGAAGGGCATCCACAGGCCCGACAAAGTCTGCCACCGTTCGGTCGCGCGATCCTGCGGGTCGAAGAACCGGCCGTCCCAAATAGAGGTCGGGTCGGCCAAGTGTCCCGGCGTGCAGAACTCGCGAGTCCCCGGTCCAAACCAGGCGACTGCGTTGCGGAAGGTGCGACTGATTGGACGGCAGTGGTCGAAGTGAGCGTGACTGTGAGAAGATGGGTCAGTTAGTCCGTGGCTGCTGCCGATGCTCCGCACCTGAAAATAATGGTGTCAATCTGATCCGGCGACACCCCGCTACGACGCTGGATCTGATCTGAAATTGACTCGCTGGGCGCCTGGAATTGGGCCTCGACGAAGGGGCCCTCTCCGACTGCGGGCGGGTAGTCGTCAGGGTCCTGAGTATGCCTCTAATGGTGAGTCACTACTCCTCGTACCGCCCCCCCCCCCGGCTCTCCCCTCCAACTTACTGGGCGACGCACCGATGAGAACCCGAGGTCCCAGATGATATGTCTCTGCTGGCCCGGATGGTAGATGTAGAAGGCCCAGTTGTACATCCTGAACTCCACAGCTGGGTCCCCGGCATGAAGCTTGTGATAGTGTGCTGTCATACTGCCGCCGTTTAGGAGCTTCACGTCGACGAAAGCAGCTGTCTCGGGGAGCTCCCGGTCGAAATCGGTCATACTGCTCCTGCGGCGTGGTTCTTTTTCGTTGTCGTGATATGTGTAATCACCAAAATGCAAGGGAAGATGAAGTCTAGTGAGTTGGTAGATTAGGGAACCGGTCGTCAACTCATACGAAGTTCTGCAGAACCGGTTATGTGGGGTTGTTGCAGGGAGGTGATGTGGTGCATCTCCGAACGTCGGTCCCCCGCAATACACCCCGCGAAGGTACCGTAGTAGATTCGGCTAGACTACTTTTCACAATACGGGCCGATGTAGTACGATGAAGCGTACAGAAATCGTCATTTCAACCGTAAAATTGTGGTTAGCATAGCCGGACACAAGTCTCACTTCACAACGGAACATACGAAAAACGGATTCTTAAGCAATATATCTCTGAAGGCTACCCTAGTCCTCCGATTTGCGGATTGGGTTTGTGGGATACAAAAACACGCATGATCCGTCCCGGTCCTAGAAAGATCAATTGGATATATGCCATAGATTCAGCAGAGAACGAGAGGTAGAAAGAATGAATAAAATAAAAAGGAAAAAAAGATCAAAGTCATGATAAACTGCGGATCACGCGCGGCCTTCTCATAGACACGCAACGCTGCCTCGGCAATACTGGGAGTAATTTCTGTGGCATGTCCGGCCTGTATACCCAATTCCAGATCCTTGGTTATTATCTGCATCTTGCAGCCAGCTGACAATTGCTGCTGCTGGGGGCGTGTAGTACGATACCGGGTACAAGCTGTATCTTGTCAGCCATGAAGGTCTGCTCGATCGAGATGTGGATGATACTGTGCAGCAATTTCGTATCTATCCCAGACTGGATTTCAATTGTCATTGTCTCGGTGACGGCCACCAGGATCGAGCATGGTAGGTAGTTGTTACTGATTTTGGCTGCCAGCCCGGTCCCGAGCCGCCGCAGTAGAAGAACTGGTTAGGGTCACCTATCCAGCTGCACACCGTCGCGAGAGGCCAAACCACCGCGTTGTTGTTGGTAGTGTCGAGAATGTACATATATTTTATAAACATCAAGATTAGTACATACGACCATAGGGTGTGGAAAATAGGGCTTCCCGTCCGCTCAGCCGTACTCAAGCCACACGCCGGGAGGTTAGTAGTTGGGTGGGTGACCACCAGCGAATCCCTTCTGTTGTATGTATTATTTATTTTTTAAACTTTTACAATGCTGTGATTGTTTCTTGTCAACAGGACTGAATGATTTTTAGTTTTAGATAGGTCCCCGAAAAGTCAGCTGCTCATGGATAGACCTCAGGATCCGTAACGAAGACTTCGCGGGCACTTCAATAATTTCTGACTTGGCGCCGGCGGTGCATGGTTAGAACAGAAATTGTTGAGACATTCACTGCAGCCAGGCAGCTGTCAGCTGATCCTTCGCCTCTTCTTCTTCCTGCGTGGTCTCTGACTACTACCTTTTCCAACCACCTCGACCACCAACCATCTTCTTGAGATCTAGATAGATTAAATCCATATATCTTTGAACCTTCGTCTTGACAGAAATTAATCTCACTTAGCCGTCCAGATATCCACTTTCGAGGATCTCACGCACCGTAAGGCGCGCATTTGGATCTGGGTGCAGAACCTCCACCAAAATTTGGATATCCTCATGCGAAACGCCCTTCTCTACCATGGTGTTTGCCCACATGTATGCCGTTTCTGGTTGTGGTATAGGCAGGATCCGGGCGCATTGTTCGTCCTCAGCATAGAATGGTAGCGATGACAAGTCAAAGTCAACTGCGAGTTGATTACGAATATCATCTCGCTTCTCCCTCAACGTCCCAGTTCGGACTGAATCATACATTCCAGGTGATTTGAGGTCCACCTGGGCCTGGAGAAACTGAGCTCACTGTGGATGACATTGTTAGCAAGTGAAATGTAAAGAAGATATCCGAAGAGAAATCACTGACTATTATCCCCCAGGACCACACATCTGTGCTCTAAGTCCAAGGCTTCCCGAAGTGGACCTCGGGACTTCGATATGTGAGGGGGGTGATCTCTCTGGTGGATGGTTTGCTAATTATAAAGCATGTGAGATTTGCTGGTCAAGAATACAGGAAAAAGGTATGTCACATACTAGCACCGCAATCTGCCAGTCTAACGATCAGATCACGGACATTCTCATTCGGCTTGGAGGAATCAAACCCTACAAGTACAACGTTCTCCATCTTCAAATCTAGAACATGCTTAGCTTTGTAACCAATTATGGGGATTTATCTGTCATTTAGTTTTTACCTGTATAAACCAGTCCTTTAAAATGGACCGTATAAATACCAAGGAGTACCCCCTTCATAATCCACTTGATTTCATTCGTAGTAAAGGGCCTAGAATCCCGAGCATCCCAGAGCGAGTCCGTGAATGCTTCAAGGACCATCATCGGCCCACGAGGCTCCGACTAGGGAACATAATCCACAAGACGGCGAATTATAGGATCCTTTGCAAACAGACGTTGCATCTCCAATTCATGCTTGGAAGCAGCGAGAGCAGTACTGGACCACGGACTGTCGTTGCTGTCTCCAGGCGGTATTTTCATAATGTACTCAGCATCAGGTCTAGGATCGTCTATCGCTAACCACACGTTGGAGGCCTTGTTGCGTACTGGTGTTCCGAGAGGTCGGACAAGTCGGTATCGCTTACCCCTCTCGCCTTAGCAGATCAGCCCTGCGGATGCGGCGGTAGATAAGCAGCGGAGATGAACTTCGGACAATAAACATTGGGAATGCCCGACGATGTTACACGCCAGGGACAACGTAAGAAACGCGGACATGGTGGCTTCATCTCAACATGTGTGTGCGTGTGTGCGTGTGTGTTTACAGAATGTCAGCCCCTGCAGCCGACCGCGCCCTACTGTACCTGCCTTCCATACTCATTAACCATCCACTTTTAGCCTAGCCGCAAAGTAACTCTACGATGAGCTTCGCTTTCACCACATCAGGTGTCACCTTCTCTGGCTGGGGCTGGACTATACATATGTACTGAAATGTCGCCTCATTCGAACAAAGCGAAATAGTCCAATTCAGCGTTCTCCGAGACAATGACGCTTGCCCTGGTTAAGTTGATCCTCGCAGCTAGGAAAGATCTGCGGACACCCTGTCACGCACGCATTTTCGCCTAGGCTGTTTGAGCCAACTTCTGATCCTCTGCCTTTTGCTATAGAGCAACAGTCTAACAATATAATCTGATAGAAAGTCCCGTTTATCAACATAGTCTACTGCAAAGGCCAGCTACACCATTCCAACGGCCAAGTCTTGTGTTCTCGAGTTGATGGCCAAATAGACTCGAAGATCTCGCCATCTTGGGGCCTTATTACAGCTTCATGATCACGACTGGGCTTAAGCCGGTTTTCCAAACGCAGCCTATCATCTTCGAGCCACTCGACCTGCCATGCGCCCGCCATTTGGCTACTAATTTCCCATGCCCTGACTGGTACACGGTGGCTGATACCCGTGCTCACCGTGTACTTTCTGAACTTGCCAAGGTACGAATGTAAGCGGAGCAGCTGCAGAGAGCCACCCTGTTGACCCTTTCGGATGCGATTGAAAATTGCCTTGGCCAACGATTCATCAATGGCTGAATTGATCATGCGGTCCCGGATTCTCCATTTGGGGATCTGGCGGGAGTGGTATGTGTACAGCTCTTGTTCGTACGCGCTCAGCTCCCGCGGCGGAGACGGCGTCCCATCGGCCTCCCTTGCCGCCACGCAATTAAGGACTAAATCCAACGTCTGTAGGGCTGGGAACTGCGCCAGAGCATCGTAAGCTCGCGCTTCGGCTGGGTGGCCTCGGTATCTCTGCACGCAGATACACAGTGTCCGCAGGGCAGGGCAGCTGGCCGCAATGCGGGTAATGACGGCTGGGGGGAAAATAGGGGCAACCTCTCCTTCATGTGAGAGCCGACGCGCCTCGTCTACTTGTTGGAACTGTGTCCGCTTGTAATGCAGCTTAAGCTCGGTCAGAGTTGGGCCGTGTCGCTTCAAAATGGCCGTGGGAAGTATCGCTGGGTTGTATCCTCCCAGAAGATAGAGGTAATCTAATGGCGGGAGTGAGCGAAACATCTTCTTGACTGCTTGTGGCCAGTTTGGGGAGTCTTGTGGTTGGTTAAGTCTAAGTGTTAACCGCTTCAATGCCCGGAAGGGCTGCAGTTCCGTGATGGCTGCCAATGCAGTTATTTCCTCTATGGTACCCGCCGCCCACGCAGTGAGATATCCCAAATCAGTAATCCATGACCATCTTTCCACCTGCTCCGCAGTCATTTTCGTGAGCAATGGTAATGACAGCATCTCCAGCTTCGCACGTGGAGCCTCGGTGGTTTCGCTCTCTGTCGGCTGTCGCAGGAGCCAACGTCCGTAACCCAGCGAGGTTTCTTGAGAGCTTTTGATGGTGATCTGCAACGATAAGTACTTTAAATGTGGCGCTTGATGAAGAATATCACGCAATATGCGATAAGCACCCTCTCTAAACCTTCTCATGTGACTATCATCATGGCAAACAACCGTAACGGAATGTAGTGAGGGATATTGAAGCCATTTTGCTTGCGCGTGAATCCAGTTTGGATTGAATCGACGCAGAGTAAAAGCTGACACGCGACAGTATGGATGCACCTCCGCGACGACATCTAGAAGCTCAGCATAATCTGCGAAAGCCAGGATGTTCAGCTGCTGCAGATAGGGCAGCCGCTTTACCAGATGAATGGTAGGGGTCCAATCACCTTTAAATTCACACAGTGGAACTTTGACATTTTCGGGGAGGCTTTCTTCGAGATAATCGCCTATATTCTCGTCCGGCACCGGCAAGCTGACGGAGGAGCTTCGGGCAAGAAGTGTCAGATGCCTGACATGCGGCAAGATGCGGCTGACGTCTAGCAACTGGAGTACGCGATTCTGGGGCTCAGTGGATTCGAAGGAAACTGTGAAATTTCTATACAGAATGGGCGCGACAATTTGACTCCACTGGCGGTTGGTTTGTGATAAGGCTCGCATGGCTTCCCGCGAGAGGTCGCTCACCTAGACCCCGGATTAGCAAATCTTAAGGCGCGGATAGTAGCACCCTCACCGCACCTGCCACACACAGCTTCAGCTCCGGTGGCAAACGATCCATGGCTCGTAGTTGAGGTGGGCCGGATTGATGAAGGGAACAGCACGAGGATGGGAAATATAAACGTGAGTCACATAAATCATGAACCTGGAATTACTATCCGCCTCCCCACTTCACCGTAAGCACTAATTCTCAAGCAATTTGTCTCTCACCTACTTTAATGCGCTGAATGACTGACTCCGGCCAGTCCAACGAGCGGGCTTGTCGAAATAACATGTTGTCAAAATTAGTTATCTTTATAATGAAAATCGTCCTATATGGGCAATGTCTCTCAAGGGGGTAGCAATATGAAATTGTGAAAGGTAGGCGAAGAGAACATCACGCTTACAACAACTGGATGGGTTTGAAAAGGGGGGAAAGTTGCAATAATATTCTCAGAGAGCCCCCGAGCACAGCAATGTCACCAAGCACCCACAGATCCCTGCCAAGTCATCACAGGTACATCGACTCATAAGTAGTCGCTGTGGGCACGATTTCAGTGATATAGGCTGCAATATATTATCAGTTGATCGCATGGGTCACTATACCATTCAAGGAATGCGCCAATTCCAAATTCAGAGGGTACGTACTATGGCTAAGTTTTACAATGAGTCATAACGAAGATAAGGAGGAGATAGAGGAACGCTCTTTGCAGTGTGATACTGACTGCATTTAGCCAATTATTGCAAAGTATTATCTCCGTGGCTTGAATGTTTAACTCCGACGACACGGCACACTCTTTCACTTTTGAAAACAAGGCTAACCCTTTAGAAATGATTCTATGTTCGACCCAAAATAATTTATTACATTCCATTCGAAGGGCCAGAAACTGTACATTCGGCCCTACAGACAACTTTCTGGGCCAGGAGGAGCTCCATGCGGGTCCCGGAGGAGCTCCGTGATACTATAAGCTCGGGTATTCTGCTATCTGGCTCTTTATAATGCACCACTGACCACTCCGAACTTCTCCCTGGAAGAAAATAGTAGATTGCTATCCAAAGTCTAAGATATCAGGATATCTACCAACCAACACTGGTGACCAGCCAATCTAAACAATGTCCGCAAACGACATCCGAGGTCGACTAGCCCTAGTCACTGGCGCTTCAGGAGGGTCAGTTTTATCCCGTAACTCCCATGGAACCTTGTTCCTGAAGCGGCCCCCGTATTGCAGCACTAGGACTAACAAACATTTAACTATCAGCATCGGTTCCGCCTGCGCCCACAAGCTCGCCGAAAATGGTGCCCAGCTAGCCCTCACATACTCCACCAATGTCGCCGCGATACAATCTCTCCACAGAGATCTGCAAACCCGGCATCCCGATCTCCGTATCTCCATCCACCAAGTCGACCTCCGCTCCGCTACCGACATCACCTCGTTATTCGACCAAATCATCGCCCAACATAATGGCCACAGCCCTGACATACTCATCTCCAATGCAGGCACCGGGAAACGAATCACCAATATCTGGGACATCGATCTTTCTGACTTCGACGACATGATCACTACTAACCTTCGCGCATCGTTCATCTTAGTCAAGGGTGTGGTCGAGCACATGAAGGCACAGCGCTGGGGACGCATTGTCTTTATGTCGTCTATTGCGGCTTATGGAGGTGGTATAAATGGGTGTCGTGAGTTACCCCCAGTTCTATATAACATACGCGCATAGGAAAAGAGTATATTCTTAATTACTTGAATTTGATATCTAGACTACGCAGCCTCCAAAGGCGGCCTCACCGGCATGATGAAGAACCTTGCTACCAGATTGGCTGAGTACAATATCAGCGTGAATGATGTTGCTCCTGCTATGATTGGGGACACTGGGATGATTCCGAATGCTGATGCGGTGCCGGAGGTGGTGAAGGGGATCCCGCTCGGAAGGCTAGGGACGCCGGAGGAGACCGCGAATGTGGTTTTGATGCTAGTTACAACCGGGTATATGACGGGGCAGAGTCTTTTGTTGGCGGGCGGGTTGAGGTGATAAGTCCATTAGTCTGCTTGAAGTAGTAGTTGAAATATCTCGTCATGCGGTAGATTTGATGAAGCTTGGAAGTTACAACGGCTCTGATTACTGTACAGGTTTATTCCCTGATTGAAGTAAGCTCGATGTAACAAAGGTGCACGGATAAGGTTAATTAACTTCATATTGAAAAAGCATATATGTGGAATGAAATCCTGATATAAAGAAAAGTTGAAGTGCCAGCGTGGAGGATTGTAAGCATAAATGTATAAATCGCAGATACATTCCTCACTATGGGTTTTTCAAACGATCGCAAAGATCATACATTACTTTTACCATCGAAATTTCTGCGATTTTAACAAGCTTAAGGACGGAATGGAATGATAAAACAAAGAATAAAATACTTTGCATACAGTCATTTTATATCTTAACCACTGCACTATCTGCTCAACCCTCAAACAGGCAGAACAACCTTGACCCCCATATACTCTCGTTGATGCATAATCTTTCCATCAATAAGCACCTGGTCAGCTCCAAGTCTGTTACGCACAGTATCCGTTGGGTCCGTGACAGTGGCAATCTGGATCTCGCGCCACTCCCGGTTCGTTGGGACCAGCTGGCCCTGGGATGTGAGTCGCCGGAACTCCTTGTAGACGCCTTGCTCCTCAACGCATCCTTCGCGTTGGATAAGCGGAGAATCTAGCAGTTATCAGCACACATTTAGTGCATGTCAATTCGAAGCACACTTACCGTATGCAGGCGCCATTCTCAAATCACCAACCGAACTGTTGAACAGCACCAACGACAGTCGCTCCTCATTCAACTGATCCACAGGTGGCTTAAACACGCGATGCCGAGTGGCCTTGAAATGTCCTCCCGACACAATCTCCAAAGTATCCCCGATGTTGATGACCAGCGCACCGGGCTTGTACGGCACATAATACCATTGTTCATCACGGCCCCAGATCTGAAGACAGGAGATGGGGACGGAGAATAACAGCGTGGTCAAGCCAAAGTCGGTGTGTCCATGCATACGGAGACCTTTCGAAGCTTCCTCGGTTTGCTTCTGCACTGGTCGGAAAAGGGCATGTCGGAAGTAGCCTTCTCCGGTTGGGCTGCCATGAGACTGGACGTTGTTCCAGAGGTAGTCGTCGGGTAGCTCAAGGACGCGGGAGAAGAGGGTAAGGAGGCGTCGGTTAACGGACTGCGTCAGGTAGTTGCAGAAAGCCTCAATCTCATCCATGAATGGATGCAGGCATGTGGGGACTCGGTTGATGTCTTCCCAATCCTGCTTGTACCAGTTGAATTGCTCGATTCCGTCGGCGGGGCCACGGTTGCGCTTTATACTGAGGTTAGATATATGACACAGGAGAAGGTGGGGATGGTATCTTACCTTGAATCCGTAAGGGTGCTTGTATCCAGACCAGAGACCTGTGTCGGGGTGGAACAGGAGGCGCTCTTTGTCTTCCTCGCTGATGTTGTTGTAGAGATACTGTGCAAGGGCGAATTGGCGATGGAGCTGGATATAAGACCTATTAGCATGTATACATTTGTCACTATTGAGGGCTTTCACCCACCTGCTCCAAGGAAACGCCGTAATTCTCGAGGAAGAGGAAACCGTCGTCACGGATGGCGATCTTGACCTGTTGGATCAGATGATCTACTACTGCCGGGTCTTCTGAGTCGAGCAGCGAAAGATCAATTGACTTGAGCTGAGCAAAGTTGTGCTTCTCCTTTGTTACCGGAGGGGGAACCCATTCTGGCACAGATGGCTTTCCGGGCAGGTCAGCTGAAGGAGGGTTGAATGGAGCTGTTGGTGCCATGATGGTCTTTGAACAAGTAAGAATGATATTGTTTGATCGGTGATATGCAGTGACTGTGATATGGCTATTTGCTATCTCTTCTACTCCGATTTGAAGTCGGGTTATATACACGTCTACTTTTAAGACTATCTCGGCGTCCTCCATGCCCTGGTCACCCAAGCCTTGTGATATGGTTCAGGGGAGCTCTTCTGGCAGAGGAGCCCACAGTATGCGTAGGGTACTGGCTCTGGAGCAGCAACAGATGAAGCAATGGCATGATGGATGCTTATCGAGCCTCGCGTTCGTCCTCCTAACCAAGCCTCCTCCCTCGATGGCGTCGCTATCTTAGCGTGTCCGATAGGGTTGCTCTCGGATCCCCAAAGATGGTTACTTCGTGCCGATCAACCCAGCTAGTCAGGTCTAACCGTGATAACGATAAGGGAGGAGCTCCTCCCACAGCCTCCGCAGTGCAGGCTTGGCATCGCCATCCACGAGAGATGTCGCAACAGATGGACAGGCAAAAAATCCATTTAAAGGGGGGTTCAATGTCATTGGCATCCCCCTTTCAGATCACAAGCTCTTATCTCAATGTGTTGAAGATTACCACATTCAAAATCATCCAATCAAGATGTCGCGCCAACTTATCTCGAGCGAGAAGTTCCCTCCCAAGCCTCATAACTGTGAGTAGCTCCTCCAACTTGTTTGTTACCAAATAAGGAGACTGGCTAACTTGTATTTGTAGGCCCCGCAGTAAAGGTTCCCGGACTCGTTTTCTGCGCCGGTCAAACAGCCACTGGAGAGATAAAGCAAGCCACAGTAAGCATGCCCCTACCCAGCATCTTCCTGACACAGAATCCGGCCATTTGACCAGCTGAACAGCGAACTGTACTCCAAAACCTTAAGGAGGTACTCGAGCTATCCGGGTCATCGCTCGAGCAAGTAGTCAAGTACAACGTCTACCTGTCAGACATGAAGGACTTTGCTGCCATGAACGAGGTGTATATCGATTTTCTGCCCAAGCCAATGCCTTCTCGGTCGTGTCTGCAGGCAGTTCCTCCGGGCGATGGAACGGTCATTGAGATTGAATGTATTGCGCAAGCTTGAGGAATTGGGTTGATATTAGATGGTCCGCAAGGCACAAAATTAATCGTCATTGCCCTTCAAATAGAAACTTTTTACTCTGCCAAACACTTTGCTCAGTAGTGAATTTCTTATTTTGGCGCCCCTTGCGACCATGCCTGTGCTGCTCTGGGAATGATGTGTAGCACTGGGAATTGGTTCAATATTTCCAGTGGTGCTGTGTCATGCAACAAGGCTTTTGTGAGTATACAAAGCCGACAGAAGTGTAGGAATCTAGCTCGCAGTTCAGCTGGTCATCACACTTCTGTTAGGTGATTGCGTGATTGGTCTTCCCTCTCCTTCTCTTCTTCCCTCTCCCTCTCTCGCTTCACTTTATCCCTTCATCTATTTTTCCTACCACTTCATTATCAGCTCACTGTGTTTCGTCAATTCTATCTCTATTTGGTCATGGATATAAGCAGTACAAGTCATTAGCGCTGCTACAGCATAAGTCTTCGATACGAGGCAATGCTCTCATTCTTCTATTTGGATTAGATAACACGTTCTCTATTCTATACAGTCTTCTCATGACCTTGCTACCTCAAACTCTGCCATATACCAATTCTGGATCGCTTTGGTGTCGCCTGTGATGGCGACTGTGTCATATGTCTTCCTTGCTTCCTTTGCCAAACTCCCATTATTAACCATTCTCCCTGCCCACTTGCCATGCTTCCTCGCCGCCGCAACAATCTTTTCAACTGCAGCAACAAACTCCGGCTCGTCTCCCCGTGCAGGCACGTATCCGAGGAGAGACTGTGCCAAGTCATTGGGTCCGATGAAGACAAGATCCACACCCGGAACGGCGCAGATTGCGTCGACATTCTCCACACCAGCACGGGTCTCAATTTGAATCATGGTGATGATGGTCTCGTTGGCTGACTTCATGTACTCGGGGGTAGTCAGACCATGGCCAATGGCAGGGAAGGCGGACCCTTGCCCCCGCAGTCCCTGTGGCGGGAATTTGGCAGATGCCACCACTTGTTGTGCCTCTTCGACGGTGTTAATTTGGGGAACCATTATGCCGTGGGCACCCGTATCGAGCGCACGCTTGACAATGTCATGAGTAGGACCGCGAATGCGGATGATTGGGGATACACCCAGGGAGGAGATGGCTGCGACAGAGTTGTGCATGGCGTCGTCGGAGATGTGGCCATGCTCGCAATCAATGATGATACCGTCAACCCCGGTCAGAGCGACGATCTGAGCCATGCGCACAGAAGGGAGGGCCATAAAAGTCATTAACGGGTATTCTCCGGCTTTGATCTTGTTGAGAAGCCGTAGCCGAGGGTTGGAGATCTCGGTTGTGAGAGGAGTGGGGTAGGTCTTCGTGTAAGTCATCGTGTCGGTGGTATCAGGAGGATTCTGCGATAGGCAATGATGACTCTTACTTGACTCGTCGACATTGTCAGTTAAGTAGTTGGTCAGCTACAGGGATGTCGGTGGTGTTCAAGTGAACTCGTCCATGCGGAGAGTTGAACGGGAGGAGTGTTTAGCGCTCCGGGAGGAGCTCCGCCGATCCATCTCAACTCCTCCTCCTCCTCCACTCCTCCAGCAAAGGCTTGTCACACATGGACTGAACTGTGTTCATGTGGAGGATAAAAGATAAGGTTAGTGCGCTCCTCCCTCCTTATCTACCCGGCGCTTGATTGCCAGCGAATCAGTGACTCACCATGGTTCGTAACACACTCCACATCAATAGCCGGTCGGCATTACCCAGATGTCATGGCCAGCAACGGCTTGCCCAATCAGAATAACATGATATACACCTTTGATGCTCCTTAATATCTTGGCCAGTCTCCCCTGGGGCGACAGCTCGCAGGTCCTTTTCAAGCCATCACTCCTACTGTCATGGATAAATCAATGGATCTCAAGAAACGCCCCTCGTCCATCAAGTCGGAGGGCAATATTTCCTCTGCAGAAGGGCAGGTTAATGATGTTGTCGTTGATGCGTATGAGCGCATGCCAGAGTCCCTACGCAGCCTTAGCGAAGATGAGCGCCGACGCCTCAATCGGAGAATCGTCCGCAAGGTGGACCTCATGGTTCTACCTACGGTTGGCCTCTTGTATATCCTGAACTACATCGATCGTCAGAACCTTGCTTCGGCCAAGCTGCAGGGCATCATGGAAGATCTCCACATGTCAACAGACCAATTTGCCACAGCCGTCTCAATTCTGTTCGTTGGCTATCTGCCCTTTCAAATCCCCAGCAACCTCCTCATCACCAGAATCGCCCGACCGGGCATGTACATCTGTCTTGCTGTCACCATCTGGGGCTGCATCTCAGCTGCAACCGCAGCTGTTCACACCTACGGCCAACTACTTGCCGTGCGCGCCATCCTCGGCATTGCCGAAGCCGTCTTCTTCCCAGGAGCAATCTACTACCTTTCAGCCTGGTACACCAAAGCGGAGCTTGGCAAGCGCATCGCCGGTCTCTACATCGCCCAACAAGTCGGCAACGCCTTCGGAGGTCTCTTCGCCGCAGCCATCCTCCAACTAGACGGTGTCCACAACATCGCCGGCTGGCAATGGCTCTTCATCATCGAGGGCAGCGCCACAGTCGGAATCGGCATAATCTGCGCTTTAATCATGCCCGGATTTCCACACAACAGTCGCATCCTCTCTCCAATCGAGCGGGACCTGGCCGTATGGCGCATCGAATCCGAAGCCGGAGCCGCGGAAGGCTCAGAAAACGAACCCATCCTTCGCGGATTCATGAAAGCCCTCTCCGACCCCAAACTCGTCCTGATGATCCTCTGCAACATGCTCTCCCAATGCCAGGGATCCATCGCCAACTACTTCCCCACCTTGGTCGGCTCCCTCGGATTCTCCTCTAACACCATCAGCCTCCTCCTCACCGCACCGCCCTACGTCCTTGCCGGCATAGTCTACTACGGCCTCATGTTCTACTCCGATCGCTACAACACCATCTACCCACTCATCATGGCGTGCATCTCCATCTCCGTCGTCATGTACATCATCCTCATGTCCACCCTCAACATCGGCGCACGGTATTTCGCAATGATGATCCTCCCGTTTGCGTCCGTCGGTCCGCAGCTTCTACTCTACAAAACTATCAACCTGCATATGGCCCGTCCGGTGTCTAAGCGCGCTGCCGCTTCCGCCCTGGTGAATGCCATCGGCTGTACGTCGAACATATGGGCGTCATATCTATATTACGATGGTCCGCATTTCTATGCTGCCTTTGGAACGCTCATGGGTTCGGCCTTCCTGCTGGCTGCTACGGTCACGGTGTATCGTGGCTCATCCGTCGCGAGAACCGATACCTGGATTCAGGTGACCCAGAACTAATCGGCAAGGTCGTCAAGGGCGGAGTTACAGAGGAGATGGTGCAGCTGCGGTGGCGATACGAGATGTATTGATATGTAGCCAGCAGGCCTCAGGATATAAAACTTCGTGATGATCAGACAAACTAGTCGTCTCTGATAGTTACATACATACATACACACTCTCTCTTTCTCATATCTAGCTATAAACAAATACTAATCCAACCCCGCCAAACACCCCATCACCAACCTCCCAATAACCCACCTCTCCCTCCAACCAAAAACCCTCCTCGCCCAACGCACCGCCCCCTCCACATCCCCATCACCCACGCCAACCACCCCCATCGCCCCAGGCACACCCCCTCTCACCAACTGCCACGCGACCAAAAACGCCTTATAGGCATACAACGTCACCCACGGCGCCTCGCCCTGCACATTCCCCTCCTCCTCCAAATACATCAGAAACCAATCCACATGGGACTGGAACGCCTTGGCCGTCTCCGCTTCACAGAGGAACTCACACGCCGAGGGCGCCAGCTCCGTCGCCTGCTGGAGCATCGTATCAATACTGGCTTTGACGATGCCGCCTGTGTGGCTGGGTGACCACATCTGTAGCTCGATCATGGCGGTTTGCCAGGTTGCCGTGGCGTGGGTGGTGGATTTGGGGGACGGAGTTGAGGATGGTGTTGGCGAAGGGGAGAGGAATACTCCTAGGGATAGGAGCGATGAGCGAAGCGCTGAGAACCGCTCCATGCTTAGCATGCCGGTCATGGTGGACCAGCCGGAGATTTCGCGCGCGCTGGAGATGAGGAAGTGGGTGATGTTGATGGCGCCGTAGGGGTCGAAAGGGGGGATTGTGGATGGAGATGTAGATGTAGATGTAGATATTGTGTCTGTAGGTGATGGCGAGGAGAGGAAGTGGCGGACTGCGTCGTCGTAGCGCATCGAAGTAGCATGATGTTGCTGTTGGGCGATGAGTTGGAGATGCGCCCATTGGGCAGCGGAGGGAGCGGTCCAGTGGGTTTCTGGACAGGGTAGGTCGTGTTTAACTTCGAGGTGGGAGATGGCGCGGGGGATGGAGAGGAGTTGGTACCATAGGGCGTCGATTTGGTGTACGGCGAAGAGGGTTCGTTTGTGGGATTCGGCTTTGATGAATTCTTCCCAGAGGGAGTCGAGGTCCGATGTGTGGGCGGATTCGGTGGGTATTGGGTGCATAAGGCCGGTGGAGCGTGCGAGGGATATCATTGTTGCGTGCATTTGGAGGCCTTGTGTTGAGTCGGAGCCGCAGAGGTACATCATCGCGCAGATTTGGAGGAGAAGGTAGGTTTGGATTAGGGGGAGGTGGTCGGTGGTGTTGGTGGAGTTGTTGGAGGAGAGGAGGGAGCGCGCGAGGAGGTAGCAGCGGGTGGAGAGGCTGATACCTGTGTTGGAGCGGGCATCGCATTCGGGGTCTTCGCCGTATTGGTATGCAAGGGAGAGCATGGCGAGGAGGAGGTGGGAGGGTATGGCGCTGGGATTGAATGTTGGATGGTGGAGGAAGGGGAGGAAGTTTGACACATGCGTAAAGAAGAGGTTGCAGCCTTCGCGGATTTGTGAGGCAGATGGAAACCACTTGCTTTGAGACAGGGTACTCTCGGGCGCGATAGGGATGATAGAGAAATCTTTCGAAAAGCTGAGGTCGCTCAGGTCAATATCCGGAGGCTGTGAACTGGATATTGCGGGCGGCTGGCTGTCGAACTGGTCCGTTGCTTGGGGAAAGCGTAACAGGCTACGCTCCAGATCTAACGCGTCTAGCAAAACAGACTCGTCCATTGATATATGTTGTGTCAGGTTACCTGGGGTAGGCTGGATACGATCGCTGTTCTCTATGGGTGATGCGCTGGACGCAGTGCTAGTCCCTCCTGCATCATCTCCATATTGCACTTGCGATGGTTCAGACGTCCATGCAAGCTTATCCAGCTCCAGCCCATTAACATCCTGCAGCTGCCCACGGTGTTGGCCAGAGTTCTGAGGCCGAAGGGAACACTCGTCCCTTTGTTTTGACCTCTTCGTCGTCCGTATTTGCTCATGTTCTGCATGCTTCCTCTTCATATGCCGATGGCGCAGATCCGGACGCGAAAATGTAGCCTGGCATAAGTCACACGGCAATGAAACTTCCTTTCTAGAACGGGAATGAAGAGCTGCATGTCGTTTGAGATTCTCATGTCGAGTGAACCGGCGCATACAAACCAGACATTGAAATGGCTGGTAGGAAGTCATGGCTGCGTTGGTGTGGATGACAGTCGCCATGAGGAGAAGCTGGACAGGAAGAAGAAGCAAAGAGGGGAACGGCACGACGGAGCAAATGAGAAAATCCGGGGCGCATAGTCTTACCCCACCCCCGCAATTTGTCTAGTCGATCCTTCGGTTCGCAGATGACAGGTGGCTGGCTGCTCTTGGCACGCTTGGACGGTGTGACAGTTGGATAGCATTCGGCTATGAGAGGAAGATTCTGCTCACAAATACTCTGATATTTGGACCAGAAAAGAGGGGGAAGAGGTGCAGATGAATACTGGGGAAGCTAGTCTTATCAATGACGGGCAGATCGGCTATTGACTCTTATCTGATATCGTCCGTCTTCCCCAGATAACGATCTTTTTCTGGCGGTCTCTGATTGGCTAGTACTCCCCCTATCAAGGCACTGCCATGTGGCCTCGAGATTCTCCTGGCTAGAATCGGACATTAGTAGATGTGGTAATTGCGTAGGCTTGCTGTTTTTCAATAGCTAGAGAGTATCAGATATAGTAGGATTGCTTTATTTAATTGATCACCAGGCTGCCTTTAACCTAGTAAGCCCGTTGTATAACGCCGAATATATATTTCTTATGTAACATACTAGCTGTCGAGTGACCCAATACAGGTTCCCAATACCAACAGTAACAAAGAAAGAAGATGCTTACATCAAGCTTGTCTCAGGTTGACCGAAAGTAATTACAAAGCCAGTGGACTGAACGAGATGAATTCCCACCGAAGCATGCAGGCAAGAGGAATAGCATAGCCCCCACCACATACTATAGCTTTTCGAAACTAGTGTGATATTATCCTACTACAAACCTCATCAGCCTCATAACCATTTCCGAGTCCTCTATTCTCCGGAATGAAGCCATAGAAAGAGA